CTTCTAACCGGTTCGGTATATTTGACGAACTGGTTCTACCGAATAGGTGCGAACTGGTAGGAACCCACCTCTGCCCAGGACCTCAAACCATGTGGTCCTGTCCACCGTCAATAAACTTTCTTTCCAAGCAACTTCCATGAATCCAGTGTCTTTTTCCCCACTTGGAACTGAACCCAGAAGGACGTTTCTTCCAATACATGTTGATACAATATTAACCTTTTCATCACTGGGCTATCAGTTTCCAAACTGAAGCAATAAGGCATATATATTTGATTATTATTTCTATCCCATCTCCGTTACTTTTTACAAATAATTTATGGCAGTGAACGTATCCAACACACCTTCCTTCTCCTATTTCCTCCCCCTCCCTCCCCCCCCAATAACAACCCTGCGAGGGGAGTTGGGCTGAGAGTGAGTGACTGGCATAAGGGTCAACCAGTCAGCTTTCACGGTTAAAGCAGAAGTAGAACTCATGGTCTCCCATTTTCTAACCTGCTGCTTACCCACTAGACCAAACTGGCTCCCTTTTCTTTTCTTTTTTCTATCATCCTTCCAGTGTTTTTAATAAATAGTGAACACTGGTCACTGTATTTCAGACTTGGCGACTTGAAGTTGTGTGGACTTCAACTCCCAGGATTCTCCAGCCAGCATGCTGGCTGAAGAATCCTGGGAGTTGAAGTCCACATATCTTCAAGCTGCCAAGTTGACAAAACTCTAATCTCTAGCATACATTGGTCCTTTTCATGGCTACAGTTTTCATGTTTCAGACTGGAATCTCTCCCAAATTTTACCTGAAAATGCAAAGTCTCAGTCACTTGCTAGATAGAAGGATCTAGCTGACTTGGGCTTATCTCAAAAACTTAAGCAGACATGAACCTAGTTAGAATTGAATCAGAAAATTGTTGATAGTAAAAGATATTTTGGAAGCAGGCGGTGGCAAATTAGTTCCAAACTAAGAGTCCCTTCCCCAGAGCTGCAGTTCAGTGATCTGTGTTTTGTTTAAAGGTATCCTAATCTTGCTTAAGAGCCATCAACTCATCTTGCAATACCATTTAATTCTGAATGACTCACAGAACAATGCAAGTTTTTACAGAATTACCTTAGAGTGAATATGCAGGAAGTGATGTTTGTAAACTCCTCCAGCACAATCCATAAGGCCCAATGAATGGTTTTAACAGGAAGTTCAAGGATAAGTTTGAACAGATGCTACTGTGCTTCAGTACCAGTTGAGTTGCTGTAACTTCTGTTGGGGTACTGAATACATTTTTCGTAAAAGGGTTGGGAGTAAGGCAATATTTGCTAGCTGGTTTATGTTTTTGTATCTGCAGAAACCCTTTCTTCTCTGACTGGAAGGCTATATAAAAGAGACATTATGTACAACCTTTCTTTAATTTACTTATATATCAGCTGGCTGACTTAAGTCTTATGTGACAAGTGTGTGCCTCAAATGAGTGCATACCTTATTCCATTCATGCTTACCTGAAAATGTGCTGTAGAGTACTGAATTGAATGGGGTTATTTCCTTTTTAGCATACACAGCATGTTAGTTTAATACAATACTGTGCCATAATTTCACTGAAAAATAGCAGTCTATCTTTTTTTTAAAGGCTATTTACCCTCAGATAGTGTTAATTTTAATCTGAATGTAAAATAAGACTGGAAAAATAAGACTTAAAAAGACTGCCTTTTTAAAATGGTGCTCTCTACATAAAGTTTGCCTCTGAACAGCTAGCAGTAGTTATCTGATTAGGAACAAATCAAGACACTTTACAATAAAGGTTAATCAAGCCCTTGAGAGAAGAGACTAAACACTTTTTAAAGAATTGGGCTTGATTTGAAGAAACAAACTCATCATCTAGGATGCAAGCCTGGCATATCTAATTTCAGGATTGTGAGGGTTACTATGCAGAGTTCATATCCTTTTGTGAAATACTTTCTGGGTGAATTCACACATGTTAAATCTTAAGGTGGTTTGGGAATCTAACTTTGAATTCTGCAGCCATTTTGTTTCAATCCAGTTGCCTGAGAGTTTAATGGAATCATAGTTAAAGCAAAGCATAATTTGATGTCTCAATCCTGATTGATTTTGGTTGGGTTTATCTCTTGCACTAATCTATTAGCACCATGTGTGAGCTACGATAAGTGCCTCTAAGCCGCACTCAGCACTCTAATTAAATTATGCTTTAGCATGATATGTTCTCCTGCCTTTTTCAGCTGCAATGGATGACTGGAGCAGCAGTAACAAACTCATACAGAAGCTGGATTTTTCCAGATGTGGAGAAGACAGTGAGATGGAAGAGGATGATGGTTTAAGAGTGGAAGATGTGAAGCATGTCACTCCACAGAAAAATTTTGAGTTTCAGAACTGGAGAACGCATTCTCCTTTCCCAGTGACCCCTCAAAGACAATTGAACGATTGCTCTCCAGCACACCCAGTTTCTTGGGTGAATCCTCTGAGGGGATGTAGGGATTCTTTGCGAAAGAAAACTGTCCCTTTGGAAGATTATCCTGGAACTCCTTTGCATTATGTTACCTGGCAGAAGCTGCAACTCTGTGATACCCCGAATACTCCAAAGGTACGGTGGTGATGATGACAATAATAATAATTCACAACCTGTTCTTCTGACAGTGTCCAAGCTAACTACTGTAAGAGCATAGTCTTGATCTTCAGCCTTTCATCATGTCTGAAACTTAATATTGCTAATTGCTTCAGGATTTATTGTCCATAAAACGTATCTGCTGTTTGAAGTGAAATTGGTCATGTCACTTCAGACTTTATGAGTTCCTTAGAGGAGAGGCTGTATAGTTCCTCCATTAGTGTTCAGCTTTGAATTGTTTGGGTGAATCCAAAACAGTGTGCCCAGACATCATAATAAGCTTCAAAAAGATGAACGTGTCTACTTGAAGAGCACCAAAAGGCACATTCTGAGATTTTAATAAAATGAGGTATTAGAGCACGAACAATGTTTTATTAGACTCTGCTGCATAACACATACATTTAATGTATGCATAGTAATGAGCTGCATTCAAATTATGCTAAACAAACATAATTTATCTGGAGTGATGCAGTGGTCTAGAGGTGGGGCTGTGAGTTCAATCCTAGGTACAGACAGATATTTCCCCCTCTGGGCACAATGAGAATATATCTGTTGAACAAAACTCCACATTGGCAACAGGAAGTGCATCTGGCCATTAAAGGCTCTGCTAGCTCCATTCAGTTGCCCAGATGCCACCCCACAAGGGATTATGGGGTCGTTAAAAGATGATGATGATGATGAAACATAATTTATCTCTTGCTTATTCTTTGGGAATTGTAAAATGTGGCAGAACACTTGTATTGTAAGCCTCTAACAACTGGATGGGTTGGATTTCTGCTCTCACAACTTCCTAGCCAACATGGGGCTGTCAATGGATTATTTGCACAGGATTATTTTGAGGATAAAATGAATGATAGGGAAGAGAAGGTTCCTCTGCTCCACAGGGAAAAGGGGAGATAAAAATGTACATCTGCTTCAGAGGTGATGTGGGGCTAGGTACAAATGCATTTTGGGAGCTCCATCCTACCTATCATCATGAAAGCAATGCCTATATTTTTGTAGCTGAATAGCTAGAGATCAAGAGAATATGTTCCCTTTTATTCCCTGAATCTTCAACTAATAAGGTGACTCAATGCATCATTGCAGATAGAGCTATACCTCAAAGCACCTCCTGAATTTTTTGTCATACCGGCTTAGATGTAGAATTCCAGCTGGGTATGATCCTGGTGCATTATTTAATTCTGGTTTGCTTTCTTAAAACTTGAAATGGAACTATTTAAACATTCCACTTCATCTTTCTGCTAATTTGGATAGATGTCTAAAGACCGCATGAACATTCTAGAGCAGTGTTTCTCAACCTTGGCAACTTGAAGATGTCCAGACTTCAACTCCCAGAATTCCCCAGCCAGCATTCGCTGGCTGGGGAATTCTGGGAGTTGAAGTCCAGACATCTTCAAGTTACCAAGGTTGAGAAACACTGTTCTAGAGCATTGATTGAGGCTTTGTTGTCAGAAATAACTTACAGATAAAATAACAAAGACAAGCAATGAGGCATTCTTCTTTCTTTCCTTGATCTCTCAAACTGTATAACTGACAAAGACACTGCTTAACACGAAACTGAGGTTCATAGCTGACCTCTGATTTTTAGGCTGCAAATAAAGATGAGCCTTCCAGAATGGCTCTAATCTTAATTCGGACATTAGATGAATTTCAGTCATGAATTGCTAGGAAAAATTCCAGCTTGAGATCCCAATAGAACGTGGACTAATAATGGACTAATAGTCTAACCCTTTATAAACAGTTCCCTAAAACTATAACTATCTCCTTGGATAGAAGAGTCTAAAATGTTCAGCCAATCCAGTGTCTTAACTCTTGGTTGTTCCAACCTAACCGCACTTGCCTGGAAGCCCCAAAGCTTGTAGGGAAAGGACAGTGTTGGTCTTTGATCTGTGCAGCCCTTCTCTATATGTAAATAGCAATAGCAGTAGACTTATATACCGCTTCATAGGGCTTTCAGCCCTCTCTAAGCGGTTTACAGAGAGTCAGCATATTGCCCCCAACAATCTGGGTCCTCATTTTACCCACCTCAGAAGGATGGAAGGCTGAGTCAACCCTGAGCTGGTGAGATTTGAACCGCTGAACTGCTGATCTAGCAGTAGCCTGCAGTGCTGCATTTAACCACTGCGCCACCTCGGCTCAAATGTCCTTGATTGCAGACAAGGGGATAGATTAAACCAGGGGTGTAAAACTCATGATATCACGTTGTTGTCATGTGACGTATCACAACTTTTTTCCCTTTGCTAAACCAGGGGTGGGCATGGCCAGTGGGTGATGCATCCAGCCGGCGGGCCATGAGTTTGACACTCCTGGATTAAGCAGAATCAAGGTGTTCTGACCTATGCTTTCTAAGGTCATGAAGTAGACTCCTCGTCTGCTCCTGGCAAGCAGTTTTTCATGAGATTTCACAACTATAGACCTTTATCAGGCTTGGAGAGTTGCCAGGCTGATATCTTCCAAACACCACGCTGTAGCAGCAATTACTTGGCAAGAAGTCAGGAACAAATCTTCACCCTAATGAATTGAACTAATTGTCTCCTGCAAACTCCCCTCCCCTTTTGCTCCTCTTTATTCCCTATGGGAGAGGCCATTCACCATCTACCTGTGCCTTTACTCCTAGAGTCGGCCCTTGTTCCTTAGCTGTTTCCTTCTCCTGGCAGCTCTGCCCATGCACATGTCGGGAACAGGCTCCAGCTGTTCTTCTGCCCCACTGATATCCGACTCTGAAGGCAGCTGATAACTGTCGGACGGCCCTGGTCCCATCTCTGCTTCCAACGCAGAGCACTCATCAGAGCCTTCCCCAGCCTCCAGGACTGGCCCATATTCCTCCACAACCTCCTCACTGTCTGAGTCTGCCACCAGCTCTGCTGGCGGGCCACAACACAAGTGAAGGTCCTTCCTGGAATGAGCCACCTAGGGATGAATGTAGAGGTGGGCATTACTGGACTCTTTGGAAGATGGCAAGCTACTACAGTATGTTTTGTTAAAAAAAAAACTTCGTTCTTTCTCTGCAAAGTGGAGTGGGAAATCTTTGCATTTTGCAAGGTGGTATCAGAGTGGGTAGGTGTTGAATTTTTGCTCAACTTGAGAGTCACAAGACCATGAATGCCTTAGATCAAATTTGAACTGGTTTAATAAAAAGGTTCTTGTGTGTGGAGCATGGAGCAATTCTGAAATACCGTAGAGGACTGCATAATGTATTTTGATATTGGGGAATATTAGGTTTTTCTCCCTATAAATTGGGCAATTGTAAAATCCTGACGCATTAGAAGTTTTCCCATGGACAATTTTTTGTTGTTTTGCTCTAGAGTCTCTTAAGTAAGACAACTTTCCCTTCACCTGTGGGGAAATTTCCCTCCAAAGGGATGAGGAACTTGCGATTCACTTCCTGTTCTGACCCAGAGGAGGCTTCTTCGACTACTTTGGTTAATATTAATCCATTTACACCCGAATCGTATCGACAGATGGTCTTCCACCCCAGCGGCAAGAGGAAAGCCAGAGGGGAGTCGTGAGTGTTTCTCTTCCTAAGATATTTCTCAAAGGATGCAAAATAAGATGAGCAGGTAGTCATCTCTGCAGAATCATAAGGTTCAAATTTAGACTGTTTGGTGTAACTCGCTGATCCAAAGAGAAATCCAAATTGAAGCATCCATGACACAAAATTGTCTAGTTTCTGCTTAGATATATATTCAATACAATTGAACCATCCCAGCTCCTTTGGTAATTTGATCCATTGTTGAGCTATTCTTACTGTTTGGTAATTTTTCCTAATCTTCATCCAGAATCTGCCTTCCTATAACACAGAAAATTATTCTATTTCCTCTATGAATAAGATAGAGAGCAGCCCCTGGTTCCTACTGTGTAATATCCAAGGATATTAGATATTCAATATGCTGGGAGACTATTGTTTTAGTATTAAATAAGTTTTAGTCAGTGGTGGGATTCAAATAATTTAACAACTGATTCTCTGCCCTAATGACCACCTGGGTAGGTGTGGCTTGGTGGTCATGTGACTGGGTGGGCATGGCCAACTCAACGTTAATCAGGTCGATGGACGCTTCGCCTTAGTTGTTACAATGTAATAAGGGTTAATTAGAGAGGGCAATAAAGATTAGCCTAGAAAGAACACCAGAATGTTTACTTCCTGCCTTCCTGACAGGATCAGCCCTGTAAAGTGGAAAAAAACAAAAGGAGATTTCTTCCAACAACCGGTTCTCCGAACTGCTCAGAAAGTTAACAACTGGTTCTCCCGAATAGGTGCGAACTGGTTGAATCCCACCACTAGTTTTAGTGATCCACTGGCTTTCAAAATCTCTGTTCCAATGAATATTGAATATTCTCAGCAGCCTGTTCGACTCATCAGTAAGATGAACAGAAATGATGGACGTGGGTTTTTTGAACAATTTGGTTGCTGATTCTGCTCCTGCCCCCCAAATAATAGTTCTTTTTGTTTGGTAATGGAAAGTTGCAAGAGACAAAATATGAAGAGGCCCAGTTGGGCTAACCAATGTAACATGAAGCGTATGTGTCTTTCAGAGAAGGCTGGAAGGCTGGCCAATATTTTCACTTTGAATTTATCCCTCATTTATGCAGTAGGAAGATTGGTCTAGAAGTCCCCCATTTAATTTGATTCTACAAGGTCTCAGAGGACAAATCAGCAAGGCAAAATTCTCTTTATTTATATATTGCCTTTATTTTTGTGTGTGTAAAGTTTTTTATTTTTTGTTACAAATTTTAAAACCTCTTTACAAACAAAGTGTTGTCCGTCCGTCCCCCCTTTTACATACTCTTATACATAATTAATTTTACATCACATTATCATTTCTAATTTTGGCCTCACTCTTTCTTACCATGTTTCCATCTTTAAGTTTAAATTTTTCTTAACAAATAAAATCATTTTTCACCCTTTCAGAAAAAAGTATACCAACTTTATCATTTCATTTTCCATTTGTTATTTCTGCTTTCAGCATATATCATCAAATCTAAATCTAATGATAAATATATGGTAGCGATATTACTGAAAACTCTTTGCTACCATGTACCAGCAATCTGGATTCATAGCAACCCAGATACGATACTCATAGAAACTACTAAAATTTAAATATTTAGAAGGTTCACACCTACGGTATATCATTGGAACATGAAACTAATACATGTGATTAAACTTATCATTTTAGAGAGGATTCCAACCAAACAGATGGAACAATGGAGCTGGGAATGCCTGCCAAGGTGAGTAGTAAGAGATACACAAATGCCACCCAATTTTGCTTAATTTGCTTGAAAGAAAAGTATCTGCACTATCCTTGAACAGTAGAGAAATGATGATCGGGAACACATTTTGAAAGAAAAATCTAGGCTTTGTTTTATGTTAATATGTGGTTTAGTGTGTGTAAGGGAGAAAGAAACAAAGTGGGCAGGAGTGCAATGTGTCTGTCTTTGTAATGGCTGTAGATAATCCTATGGCTTCCCTTTGTATCTCCCCATGGTCCTGGGAAAAGACATGGCTGCTTTAATACATCACTGTATTGCATCTTGTTAGAATCAGATCCAAAGCATTGCATATCCATACACTCTGATATGCAACACTTGTAGGCTTTAGTCTGAGAGATTGCCCAACTATTGAAATGAGATTATTATTTCAAGTGCAGATGGTCATTGTATAGGACAGGGCTGTCAAGCATGCATCGTCATGGCAGTGTCATGTGATGTGTGGAGACTTCCCCCCCTTTTGCTAAATCGGGCATGGCCAGCATGCGGCACATCTAGCCCTTGGGCTGCAAGTTTGACAGCCCTGATATAGGCACTATCTGCAGTTCTGCTAAATTGGAGGGCAGAAATGTTCCAGGTACTGGGAATTCAATTTCTGCATTATCTTACTGCCTTCAGGGTGATGAGGATACTGTTCTAATATCCATATCACATTTTAGTGCTGATAGTACAGTTGTTTTCTGTAAATGTTTTTGGGTTACTTCCATTTAAGAGGAACAGAATTCCAAACCAAAATATACATACATTTTCACTATAACTGAAAATAATATTCTGAAGGCTAAGAAAATCCCAATGACAAAAAAATGTTCCTTATTTGATTATGCTACACTTTTATTAAATCAATTAAATGTGTGTTTCATACTTTAATTAGTCTTCCAAGCATAACTTTCTCATTTTTTAAAACATATATAGCAGCTTCTAACATGAGATAAACATTTTCTACCTCCAATCTGTAACTATGGGAAAATGTGGCCTGTTAAGGAGAAGAGATTTTGGAAGTTGGGAAAGAAAACTAGTTTATTGAACCCCAAATTCTTTTCTTACCATTGTTACAAATGACTATTAATTACCGCAGGAGAAATTAGGCAATTAAAAGTCTCTAATTGAAAACCTAATGAAGACGAAGCTTAAAGAGTATTACAGTGTGGGTGAGAGAAGAACCGTTTTACTGAGCAGTAAATACCTTCTGCTGTTATATTCTTCTTCTCAAATATCCTATTATCCTCCCTTTCCCTTGAGTCGCAACACAATTACTAGGGTTTACAAGGTGAATTTTTATTTTCTACTACTAGAAATGTAGAAGGGATAAAGCAACATTGCCCTCTTTTGGTGGAAAACCAGGCTGATTCTAAAACATACCTTTGGCCTTGAGAAATAAAAGGAAAGGGGGTGCATACATTTTATTCATTTAAGAGCAGTATTTTCAACAAACCACCTAAAAAAATTATCAAAAATATGCAAGGGTTACAGGTCTCTGGATTTCTTGTTCAAGCAAAATGGTTAAGGAAATCAAGACTTAAGAAAATGGGTAGAAAAGAGATTGCTTTGACACCGAAATAATCTTAGTCAGAGTGTAAAAATAGCAATAGCAATAGCAGTTAGACTTATATACCGCTTCATAGGGCTTTCAGCCCTCTCTAAGTGGTTTACAGAGTCAGCATATTGCCCCCAACAACAATCCGGGTCCTCATTTTACCCACCTCGGAAGGATGGAAGGCAGAGTCAACCCTGAGTCGGTGAGATTTGAACAGCCAAACTGCAGAACTGCAGTCAGCTGAAGTAGCCTGCAGTGCTGCATTTAACCACTGCGCCACCTAGGACATAGAAGACAGTTACAGGAATTTGATTTACACAGCAATAGCAATAGCAATAGGTGTAAAAATAGCAATAGCAATAGCAGTTAGACTTATATACCGCTTCATAGGGCTTTCAGCCCTCTCTAAGCGGTTTACAGAGTCAGCATATCGCCCCCACAGTCTGGGTCCTCATTTCACCCACCTCAGAAGAATGGAAGGCTGAGTCAACCTTGAGCCGGTGAGATTAGAACCGCTGAACTGCAGATAGCAGTCAGCTGAAGTGGCCTGCAGTACTGCACCCTAACCACTGCAACACCTCGGCTCTCTACATAGAGAGATATTGTAGGGGTCTAGATAGTGAATATAACTCCCAGCATCCTTCTCCTTAGCCATGTTAACTAGGGACGCTTGATATTTTCATTCACAAACAACTGGATTGCCATAAAATGCTTTCCACTGCTGGAAATCACCTATGTTTGGTTTAAATTGCTCAAGGCATTCCAGACTTATGTTGGAACACACACACACACACAATTACATATATATAGATTGTATAAACTCAAGTAACTGTGATTGTCCAAAAGACTACAATTAAAAAGGTTGAGGATGTATATAGTTTCTATATCTAGAAACCAGGGGTCGCACTTGATGACGAAGCCTATGGTGCCGGCGGGAGAACCAGTTCAGGGGCATGGCAGGCTTGGGTCGTTGCCGGTTCCAGCAACCCAGCCCACCAAACGACTACTGGTTTGGCCGAACTGAGCCAAACTGGTAGGAACCCACCACAGCTAGAAACTATTAAATTTGGAAAAGCTTGGGTAAATAATGGCAGTGACTATACCAGAGCGTGAAGTAAGATTCTGTATTACAGGAGATCAACAAGTTCTCTCCTCTATCTTTGGTGAGCTATTATCGTATCTATTATCTATTATCTATTCTTCTCATCCATCCTTAGAGATTCCTCTTGCGTGAGAGCAACATGGTTTCCCGCTACAAGAAGGAATTCCTAGAGCTGGAGAAGATTGGTGTGGGTGAATTTGGTTCTGTTTATAAGTGCATCAAAAGACTGGATGGTTGTGTCTATGCCATCAAACGCTCAAAGAAACCCCTTGCTGGGTCCTCAGATGAGTAAGTCTACAGTGTAAAATTATAAATATCTCCATACATGCCATCCTTCCTCCTCCGGTGATAGATTAAAATCATGTCCTCCATGCAACATTTAGTTCTGAATTTCTGAAACCAAACAGTACAACTTCTTTTAAGTTTTCTTGACCGCATACAGATCAGTAGCATTTAGCTAGGCTTTGAAAATGTCTTACTTGCATTGGGCTTAAATCTTGGATCCATCCATGTTGTCCCAAAGGGACAAAGGTTTCTGGAAGCAACTGGACCTCTGACAGGATGCAAATGACCAGTTGCCTGCAAGGGATATAAATCCTTCCATTCCCCACTATCCTGTCAGAGCTGAAGAAGCTTCTTGAATGCGAGGTGAAACGTCTTCCAAAGAAAAACCAAGAAAATCCAGTTGCCTCCTGAAAAAGCACCTTTGGAACAACTATGACCTGTATGACTAAAAATCTCCATCCAGTGGTGGGATTCAAATAATTTAACAACAGGTTCTCTGCCCTAATGACCAGTGACTGTGTGGGCATGGCCAACTCACCATCACTCAGGTTGATGGGCGCTTCACCTTAGCTGTTACAATGTAATAAGGGTTAACCGAAGAAGCCGTTTCTGTAAAGCAGGGCAATAAAGATTAGGCTAGAAACAACACCAGAATGTTTCCTTCCTGCTTTCTTTACAGGATTAGCCCTGTAAAGGGGGGGGGGGAATTTCTTCCAACAACTGGTTCTCTGAACTGCTTAGAAAGTTAACAACTGGTTCTCCCGAATAGGTGCGAACTGGCTGAATCCCACCACTGCATCCATCCATGTTGTTTTCTTGGTAAACTATTGATGTAGTTTCGCCCCTGCCTTCTGGAATATTTTTTTAAAACGTCTTCGTTTTTTCTATAGTCCTGGGAACTTCTGGATGCTCCCATTCAAGAATCATCTGGACTGTTTAGCTTTTTCCAAGGTCAGCTGTATGTTGCTATTTGCTATGACAGGACCTTGGAAAAAAAAGTGACAATTTAGGACAAGTTTTTTTTTTAAACCATCAAATTTTTCATTTTGTCCTTCAAAGTAGTTTTTCCTTTGGTCAAGGGATATGAAATTATATGTTTTAAAGAGTAAATACGGGCAAATACTTTGCTCCCAATTTTACACATTTTTCAATGTGGGGTGGTAGATTAAAATCAAAAGTGAAAGCTCTGTCTGAGGCAGGGGGTCTCTACCCTTTGCAACTTTAAGACTTGTGGGCTTCAACTCCCAGAATTCCTCAAACAGCTATGCTGGCTGAGGAATTCTGGGAGTTGAAGTCCACAAGACAAAGTTGCCAAGGTTGGAGACCCCTGGTCAGAGGCATTCATTTATTCCTTAAAATTCCTGAAATCCCCATAATAATTAATCCAATGGTGATTTTTTTTTACTACCGGTTCTGTGGGCGTGGCTTGGTGGGTGTGGGGGGGGGGAAGGATTCTGCAAAATCTTCATTCCCACCCCACTCTGAGGCCAGCCAGAGGTGGCATTTGCCAGTTCTCCGAACTACTCAAAATTTCCTG